ATATATATTCTATTAGCTTCTTTCTTTTAAAATTTCTACTTGATATAAGAAATATAATTGTAATAATGACAAGATAAAAAATAATTAAAAACATAATTTTCGTATCGTTTCTTTTACAAAAAATTAAGTTTAAAAATATGAGAAAAAATTGCCCATAATTGTATATAATCATATATAATCATATATATTGTGACCACGTGAATTTCCTTGTCGTCTATCTCACGAATGACGGCCACGCCGCGCCTCCGCGATTCTCGATCCATGATTTTGGCAACAATAGACTCAGCCCTCAACAGGATTCGCTAAAATAAAGCGATTGAGTAATGTCGACGATTTTCGATCACAAACAACCAATTTTCATAATTTCTCTGGCACCACGATACAGAAAAGAACTAAAGTCTACATTTGAGCCGGAGCGCGGTAACTCAATGTTTCGCATTACGGGACCGATTTTACGGGACAGAGAAAGAGGCAGGCTTACACGATAGCGATATACCCTACAAAATTAACAATAATATTACATTAATAAAGGTACATGATTAATATAAGAATTTGCGTCAACGCTTTCACACGATACCAGGATCTCCGCGACGAGATCGTTCGTCTCAACTCGACGCAGAATCTCTGCAATCGGATGCAATCTTGATTTGCAACAGGATCTTGTGTGGTTTTGCGTCCTTTACACTCTTTTCACTCGCCATGATAAGTGCGCTATTGTAATCCTACAGGAGATACGCCATCGTTGTCCCTCTCGTAACTCTCGTCGCTCTATTGCAATCATTATAAAATTATATCACTTTGAATAGTTGCAAAAAACTACTTTGTTTTACGTGATGTTTTTTTCTTAAAATCGTAACCATATTGATCGATCGATCGTGCGGCCTAAAATCGGCATTCTTCATCCACGGGAAGCTCAAATTCGACAGCTTTTGATGGTAATTCCCTGATGGTAATCTTGATCCCTTCATTCTGGGTCTTTCTTGCTCTTTTTCTCACCGAACAGCATTCCCGCTCAGTTGTATATTCACTCTTAAGGCTTCTTGGCATTCCATGAGCTTGCGGGATTCCATGCAATCTTACGTGGAGTAAGCTTTTCTCGTTTCTGCTCGGCTTCTCTCCTCCATTTGCCATCGGCATCCAGTATGCTGCATTTAAGTAAAATTAAGTGCAACAGCGACAACTCTCTAATAATTATAATTATAGGCAAACATGATAAGACCGAACATGATAATGTCTGATCTGCGTTTTCCATCGGACGATTTTCCTTGCCCTGCTTCTCAGCTTCCTTCTTCTACATCGCTTCTTCACATCAGTTGGAGACGCCCATAATTTCACTCAACATCAAATAACCGCCAATGCTGCCCGCAACCTATCTTTTTAAAATCCGATCATTAATCTAGTAATCAAATTCGCAGGCTAACCCGCCACAAGATTGCTCACTGTCTTCTCTTTGAATGGAAGAATATTGACAGAATAGCGAACAATCTCACAATCCACAATTAAAGTTTATCAGTCGATCAAATTTGAAAAATGCAAAATTTAAAACTTTGAAAATTGATTATTCTTAATCTAATTTCTTAATATTTTAATTTAAAATATTATTTAATTAATATTTCAAAGTTATTTAAATAGTATATTTTATATTTAATATTTTATATTTTTATATT